TGAGGGGACTACCACCGGTGGGCAGGAGCAGCAGTCCCAGCAGCAGCAGGACCAGCCCCAGCCGCAGCCGCCGTCCCAGCAGCACCCGCCGCAGCCGTGGGCTCGTCTCCCGCCTGGTTGGCCCGGCACCTCCGGAGGCGGTGGCCGTGGTGGCGGCCCGCGCAGCTTGGCGTCTACCAGCGGCTCCAGTGCTGTGACCTGCCAGTACCAGCTTCAGACCGGGCCTCTCCGCGGCACTCTGTGCCGCCGCCCGCACCCGACCGCCCACTGTTTCCGCCGCCTCGACGATCTTTTTCGTCGTCGCTTTGGCCCGGCCCCGGACCTCCCTGACTGGCACAGCCTGCTCCGCCAGGGCGTGCCGATCTTTGAGTTAGACATGGATCAGATAGGTGCTGCTTTGCATGCTTTGTATGCTGACGCTTCTAGTGTTGATGGATCTTACTACCATGTGTACTCTAGTTTAGGTGTTTCACCCTTGTGTAGCTTAGCTTCCCCTGCTGCGACAGGCGTAGGACTGCCTAGGTTGCCTAGTCTAGTCGCTGCACCGGCTCCGTCCGCGGCCTCCGCCACTGCGTCGCTGTCCTTCACTCTCGACTCTGGTGCTTCTGCCTGCTTCTTCCGCGACCGTTCCACGCTCACGCCGCTTGCTGCACCTGCTGTTGTCTCTCTCGCTGACCCCTCTGCGGGTCCGGTCGTCGCGCGCAGTTCTACGTCCCTTCCCTGTCCGGCAGTTCCCTCGGGCTCCCTTACTGGCCTCCACGTTCCCTCGTTCTCCAGGAACCTGGTTGGTGTCGGCTGTCTCCAGGACCTCGGCGTCACCACCACGTTCCCCGGGCACGAGCGGTTCGCTGTCTGTTCTGAGGCTGTCTCAGGTTCCCCCCTTGCGACGTTCCCCCGGGACCCGGTGTCCGGTCTGTTTACCCTACACACCGCTTCCCCCCCGGTTGGTGCGTCCTCCCAGGTCGCTGCAGCTTGCTCGTGTCGGTCCCTCACTCACCCCTCCCTTCTCTGGCACCACCGCTTAGGTCACCCTGCTCTCCCGCGTCTGCGTCACATGTCCCAGCACGGTCTTGTCTTAGGTCTCCCCGCGTCGCTCCCTGCCCTTCCTCCCTCGACTGCGCCACCGTGCACGCCTTGCGTCGAGGGTCGGCTCCGCCGTGCTCCTCACTCCTCCTCGTTGCGTCCTGCTACTGCCCCCCTTCAGACCCTGCACTTGGACGTTTGGGGCCCTGCCCCCGTCCCCGGACCGCGCGGTGAGCGCTACTTCCTTGTGCTCGTTGACGACTACACGCGCTACACCACGGTGTTTCCCCTGGAGCGGAAGGCCGACGTGCCCGACGTTCTTCTCCCGTGGGTTGTAGCTGCGCGTCTCCACCGCGGTCTCCCCGTGTTGTGTCTCCACTCCGACCGTGGCGGCGAGTTCGCCTCTGGTCGGCTTGGACAGTTCTGTCGTGCGGAGGGCATCACCCAGTCGTACACGTTGCCGGACTCGCCACAGCAGAATGGGGTTGCTGAGCGCCGCATCGGCTTGGTCATGGAGGTCGCCCGTACCTCCATGATCCATGCCGATGCCCCCCATTTTCTGTGGCCGTTCGCTGTTCGCTACGCGGCTCACCAGCTTAACCTGTGGCCACGCTCCCAGCGGCCGCAGGTTTCGCCGACCCTCCTTTGGACCGGGTCCCCCGGTGACGCGTCTGCGTTCCACGTCTGGGGCTGCCTTGCTCACGTTCGTGCCTCTGGCACGGACAAGCTCACTGCCCGCACTGTCCCCTGTGTCTTCCTCGGTTTCCCCCTGGACTCGTCTGACTGGCTTTTCTACCACCCGCCGTCTCACCGCTTCCTCCACTCTCGTGACGTCACCTTTGACGAGTCCGTCTCCTTCTACCGCCGCTTCCCTCACCGAGGTCTCCCAGTTGCCCCCCCCCTTTTCCTTGCTCCCTCTCCCCCGGTAGCCCCTGCCCCTCTCCCGCCTCGTCCTGCCCCGTCTGGTGTCTCCCACGTCACTCCCCTCCCGTCGGTTGTCCCCGTTGAGGAGTCTGCTGACTCTGGTGGTACCCCCGGTCCGTCCTTGCCGCGTCCCCCTTCCCCAGTGCCTCCGCCCCCACTGTCGCAGTCGCCGACCCCGCTGCCGCCGCCGTCGCCGTCGCCGCCGCAGCCGTCGCCGCTGTCGCCGCCACTGCCGCCGTTGCTCTCGGCCCCTGGGGGTGCTGGTGTGGAGGAGGGTGTTCGTCCTGCGGCTTCTGGGGGTGCCGCTGGTGTTGGAGGGGGTTCTCGCTCTTGGGGTGTTGGTTCTGGGGGTGCTGCTGTTGAGTGTTCTGCCGACGGTCGTTCTGCCTCTGCTGGTCCGAGAGTTCCGGCCCAGCCGTCGTCGCCGCCCAGCAGCCGTCGCCGCCGGTTTCCGCTCTCCGCCTGCTCGGCCTTCCCTCCCCGGACCGCGCGCCGGTGTCTCCCCCACCGCCTCCTGACCTCCCTGTCTACGGTCCTGTGTTCCCGCCGCCAGACTCGTCTCCGGCCCGTCTTCCTCCTCGTTCCCCTCCTGTGTCTCCTCCGCTGTCCCCTGACCCTACCCCTCCGTCTCACGTTTGGGCTCGCCGTCCCTCCCGTGCTCGTCCCGTCTCTCCTGTCCTGCCCACCCACCCTATGTTGCTCCGTTCCCACTCGTCTCGTCCTCCCCTCCTCCCGTCCCCTCCTCCCTCGTCCCTTGCTGTTGCACCTCCTCCGTTCTCTGACTACCTCCGTGCTGCTCGTCCCCTTGTCCCTCGGGTCCTTGCCTCTCTTGTTACCGACCCTGCTGTCCTGTCTCGCGCCTTGACGCGCTTGTCGCTGCTGTCGCTGACTTCGCTTCTACCCGCCGCCTTGACTACGCTACCGCTCTGGTCTCTGACCCTGCCCGTCCTCTGTCCGTCGGGGGTGCTCCTGCCCTTGGCAGTGACGTCCTAGAGGACAGGCAGTACGAGCTGGCTTTCCTTTCCGAGGCTGCTCCCCATCTCTGCTCCATGCTGTTAGTCCCTGAGGGTGACCCAGACGCCTTCGACATCCCGACCCCTCGCACCTACGCTGAGGCCACCTCGGGACCTTGGGCCTCTCAGTGGATAGCTGCCATGGAGCAGGAGATGGCATCTTGGAGATCCACCGGCACTTACGTCGACGCAGTTCCCCCGCCTGGGGTGAACGTAGTCGATGGTCGGTGGCTCTTCAAGGTGAAGCGCCCCCCTGGAGAGCCGCCTGTCTTCAAGGCGCGCTACGTGGCCAGAGGTTTCAGTCAGCGCGAGGGGGTTGACTTCTTCCAGACCTTCGCCCCGACCCCGAAGATGACCACTCTTCGGGCGCTGCTACACGTAGCAGCACAGCGTGACTACGAGCTTCACTCTCTCGACTTCTCTACTGCCTTTCTTCAGGGCAGCCTACACGAGCAGGTCTACCTGCGCCGACCACAGGGCTTCACTGGTACCTTCCCTCCTGGGACCCAGTGGCTTCTCAGGCGCCCGGTCTACGGCCTGCGTCAGGCTCCCCGCGAGTGGCACGACACGCTACGTGCCACGTTAGCAGACCTGCAGTTCTTTCCGTCCTCTGCTGACCCTTCACTGTTTGTGCGTTCCGGCCAGACTCCGTTCTACATCCTTGTCTACGTAGACGACCTGGTCTTCGCTACTCCTGACAGGGACGCACTGGCCTCTGTGAAGGCTGAGCTGCTGAAGAGACACACCTGCACTGACCTTGGAGAGCTGCGTCGCTATCTTGGCCTGCAGATCTCTAGGGACAGAGCAGCACGCACCATCACTCTGACCCAGTCACACTTGGTGCGTCAGGTCCTTCAGAGGTTCGGTCTTCAGTTCTCCTCCGCACAGCCCACACCTCTACCCGTAGACCATGGGCTCTCTGCTCCCGTTCCTGAGGAGCCAGTAGAGCCCAGTGGCCCCTACGCAGAGCTGGTGGGTTGCCTCATGTACCTGATGACTTGCACTCGCCCAGATCTCGCATACCCTCTCAGCATCCTGGCTCGCTTTGTGGCTACAGGCAGACACCGACCTCAGCACTGGTCTGCCGCTAAGAGGGTTTTGCGTTATCTTGCTAGTACATCAGGCATGGGGTTAGTGCTAGGAGGACGCAGGCCAGTGGTCCTTACTGGGCACACAGACGCTTCTTGGGCAGACGACGCTGAGACGCTCAGGTCGTCGCAGGGCTACTGTTTCAGCCTTGGTTCGGGTGCTATCTCTTGGAGATCCACTCGCTCGTCGTCTGTGGCTCAGTCTAGCTGTGAGGCTGAGATCTACGCTGGTGCCATGGCGGCACAGGAGCTCCGCTGGCTGACCTTCTTGCTCACAGACTTAGGTGAGCGGCCTAGCTCTGCCCCGGTCCTGTACGCTGACAACAGGGCCATGATACTCCTGTGTCAGGAGCCTCGGCTTGAGGGCAGAGCGAAGCATATCCAGCTGCGGTACTTCCTCCTGCGCGAGCTACAGCAGCGCCGCCAGGCCCGCGTAGTTCACTTGGCCTCAGGTGCCAACACAGCTGATATCTTTACTAAGGCGCTTGCGCCTAAAGATCATCAGCGGCACTGTGTACAGCTTGGTCTTGTTCCTATAGCTGCTCCCCTGTTAGGATCCTGATTGTGTACTCTCTATTATATATGCTTGTCAGACTGGCCTTGTGGCCTTACCTCCAGTGGCTGGACTAGTAGTGCCACCCTGGCTTGCTTCAGTTTTGGTTGTATTCTTGCTGACTGGTCTCCAGACCCCTGCCTCAGTGGTTGGACTAGTAGTGCCGCCCTGAGCTGTTTGCTTCTTGTTTAGTTTCACCCCTTGTCTAGCCTAGGGGGTGTGTCAACTTATACATATTATCTATGTAGAAGTTATAGGCTAGACTGAGGTATGCTTCTAGTGAGTACAACCAACTAGTATTTGTTCTAGGTTTCCACCTCTAGTAATCATTCGTTTCTACGTTAACACTCCCTTGATATCCCCTTTTCAGGAGACTGAAAAACAGGGGAAAAAACCGAAGGTGAGCCCTGCAATCAAAATGCCTGAAGTCCAGTCTAGGGGCCTGCTACGAAATCACTGTAATCTCCTACTGTACAAATAACTCGCAATCCCAACAGCATGCAAATCATGAACGTGACAGCTTCCACAGCATTCTCAGAAACACTCAACTAATGCACCACATATTGATAAACCAAACCACCCCTGATAAGCTGCCCTACAAGCAACCATCCACCAATCTGTTGCCTTGCAACACGCACTTCCCCCAGGAGCGCAGGGACTGCTCCACCACCCAACCCAACACAAAGAGTGGCCCACCACCCAACATTACGCGTGGCAGGTATCCTCTACCCCTGTGTGTTGAGCAGCATGCGCAGCGTGTTGTTGGGTGTGAGGAACTTGTGCGGCAAGGGCTGCCCGTTGACGGGCGACGAGTCGTGCGTCTTGAGCCACTCCTCTATGCTGCTGCGCTCGTACGTGAAGCCGTCTGCCGCCACCACCGGGTCACTCATGCGCTCCTGGGGGAGGGAAAGGGGGAGAGCGGTGGATGGATGAGGAGAGGGACGGGGGGAATGTAGAAGAACCGGTGTGATTGGGACAGGGGCACAGTAGCACACCTGAGACACGGTAATGCACCTGAGTGAGACACTAGTCCCTGAGAGGGACAGTCAAGCACACCTCAAAGAGAGCACTTCGGACAGCCACTGTAGCGCACCTGAGAGAGCCGCTGTGGTGCACCAGGGAGAACCACTGTAGCGCACCAGGGAGAGCCACTGTAGCGCACCAGGGAGAGCCGCTATAGCGCACCACGGAGAGCCGCTGTAGCGCACCTGGAGAATAACTGTAGCGCACCTGGAGAATAGCGCACCTGGTGAATAACTGTAGCACACCTGGAGAATAACTGTAGGGCACCTGGAGAATAACTGTAGGGCACCTGGGAGAACAACTGTAGCGCACCTGGGAGAACAACTGTAGCGCACCTGGGAGAACTGTAGCGCACCTGGGAGAACAACTGTAGCGCACCTGGGAGAACTGTAGCGCACCTGGGAGAACTGTAGCGCACCTGGGAGAACTGTAGCGCACCTGGGAGAACAACTGTAGCGCACCTGGGAGAACAACTGTAGCGCACCTGGGAGAACAACTGTAGCGCACCTGGGAGAACAACTGTAGCGCACCTGGGAGAACAACTGTAGCGCACCTGGGAGAACAACTGTAGCGCACCTGGGAGAACAACTGTAGCGCACCTGGGAGAACAACTGTAGCGCACCTGGGAGAACAACTGTAGCGCACCTGGGAGAACAACTGTAGCGCACCTGGGAGAACAACTGTAGCGCACCTGGGAGAACAACTGTAGCGCACCTGGGAGAACTGTAGCGCACCTGGGAGAACAACTGTAGCGCACCTGGGAGAACAACTGTAGCGCACCTGGGAGAACAACTGTAGCGCACCTGGGAGAACAACTGTAGCGCACCTGGGAGAACAACTGTAGCGCACCTGGGAGAACAACTGTAGCGCACCTGGGAGAACTGTAGCGCACCTGGGAGAACAACTGTAGCGCACCTGGGAGAACAACTGTAGCGCACCTGGGAGAACAACTGTAGCGCACCTGGGAGAACTGTAGCGCACCTGGGAGAGCGGGCAGAGCAGCTGCGAGTCCATGTGGCCCCTCCTCCTGTCCACTGCCTCCCTACATCGCTCCGCCAGGGCCACCAGCGCCGGCTGCAGCTCGCGGTCCAGGTCGGGCCGCCGCGCCCTCTGCCGGTCCGCACAACGCAGCGCCAAGGACGCAAACTGTGCCGCCACGTCGCGCTCCCACTCGCCCGCCGAGGGATCGAGGCGCGCCAGCACCACATCCACAGCGCGCGCCAGCCCGCTGGGGCCGGAGTTGTAAGCGCCACTGCCCACCAGGTCCACGAGCAGGCGCTGCACGCCCTTGACGTGCGGCTCGCCCGTGAGCAGCTGCAGCATGATGAGGCCCAGTGCATAGATGTCCGACAGCACGCTGATCTCGCATGTCACCACCTCCTCCGGGTCGATGTACCCCGCCGTACCGCGCACGCGCGCCGTGACGTTGTCGTCGTCGGCGATGAGGCGCGCGAGGCCAACGTCAGCGAGCTTGGAGCCGCGGTTGGCGTCGAGCAGCACGTTGTCGGGCTTGAGGTCGCGGTGGGCGATGGGGGGGTCGTGGTGGTGCAGGAACAGCAGAGCCGACGCCACCTCACTCGCCACACGCACGCGCTCCGCCACAGACAACGCCCGCCGCCCGGCTCCAGTGCGGCCGGCCGGGTTGAGGTGGTCCTGAAGCGAGCCAGCTGGCAGGTACTCGTAGACGAGACACATGGCGTCGGGGCAGTGGCCCATGAGCAGCACGATGTGCGGGTGGCGCATGCGCGACAGCACCTCCACCTCCATGCGGTACTCGCTGGGGCCCTGCCACCCGCCCCCCTCCAGCCGCTTCACCGCCACCTGGCACCCCAGCAGCCGCCCCTTGTGCACCTGGCAGCACGGGAGGGGGGGGGGGGGGGGAGGAGGGGGGGAAGGAGTCAAGGGGAGGCAAAGGGAGACAGTCATTCAGGTTGCCAGGCAGTATGCGCGTGCTTGGTGTGAGGCTAGCAATGGCGAATGCGCTCCACTCTTTCACGAGTAGGAGCTCCGAAAAGGCAGAAGTGTGGTGGCATTGTGGGCTTCTTGGTGCAGCGCCCTACGTATTGAGCGCTAATATTATAGGTTTCTCATGGACTTCCTATTGTTGCGCACTCACCCCTGCTACCGCACCCATTTTAGCCACCCCTGCTGCTGCACCCATTTGATCCATCCCTTCTACTGCATCTATTTCAGTGTACTCCGGTTGCTTGTGGAGAGCAAGGGTATGCGGTACCGATAGTTGATTCTTGAAGTGTGTTCATAGCAATCCACAAAGAGAGCGGGGAAGGGGGAAGAGAGGGGGAGGGGGTGGGAGGGGGAGGGGGAAAGGGTAGGAGAGGCGAGGGGGTTGGGGGGTGGGGGAGAGGAAAGAAGGGGAGGGAGAGAGGTTGGGGGGGGGGGGGATGGGGGGGAGGGGGGCAGAGCGGGCTGACCATGCCGAAGGCGCCGCGGCCGAGCAGGTTGGCGTCGCTGAAGTTGTCCGTCGCGGCGGCCAGCTGCGCCAGCGTGAACTGCCGGCACTCCGCGCCTCCCCCGCCCTCCGTGAGGCGCGCGCTGCTGCCCCCCGCGCTGCCGATGGAGCGCGTGTCGAAATCGCTCCACGACGACCCCGCGCTCATGTTGTTCATGTTGTCCCACGACGCCCCCCCCGACGCCTGCCGCCCCGTCGGCAGCGGCATCGGCGCCTGCTGCTGCCTCCCCGCGCCCCACCCCATCCCCCCGCCCGACCCCATCCCCGCGGCCACCTGCGCGCCTGGCGGGCTGGCGGAGTGAGCGGAGCGCGGAGCGTACGGGCCCACGCGGATGCCCTGAGAGCCTTGCGCGGATGGAAACTGGAGAGGAGATGGCGGACGGGGAGGGGAAAAGAGAGCACGCGCGTTATGGGAGCGGCTGGACGCAGAGTTGAAGATTTGCCGAGGGCCGCGGGTCGGTGGGGACGCGGCGCTGCAATGAGCGGACAGGAGCTTTGCGGCCATGCAGGCCAGAGCTGGGAGACGGGAAGGGGAGGGGGGAGAAAACGAAAGAGCAGGCAGCAAGGAACGGAGGGGAGGGAAGGAAACGAAAGAAAGGCAGGGGGAAGGAGAGCGAAGGGCAGCGAGGGAGTGGAGAGAAGGGGCGGGGTCCAGCGAGCCGCACCCCGAGGCCTCTGTCGGAGGCGAGGGGTCGCGCGCCGTCCGCGCGGTACGAGGGGGAGCCCGCCATCCCCGGCGCCAACCCGTCCTTCCTCGGGCTGCCACCCGGCGGGCCCGCCATGGGCGCGCTGCCGCGCGGGCCGGCGACGAGGCCGTGGCTGTCGTGCGACTGCGAGCGCTCCACCGCCGCCGACGCGTCGCGGGTGGACTTGGGGCCTGCCTCATAGCTGGTCCGCCTGGGCGGGCCGCCGGGCGACAGGCTCATGGCGTCCACGCGCGAGCCCAGCATCGACGCCACGTCCGCCGCGCCGAACGGGCTGGCTTGCGGCGCGGCGGAGGCGGCGGTGCCGTGGTGGATGGGCGGCATGTACTGCGAAAAGTCCTCGTTGGTGCCCACCCGCATCTTCACCTGCGCCGCCGGCCGCAACGCCGCCGCCGGCTGCTGCGCTGCACCCCGCCGCACGTCAGGCACATGCTGCTGCCCGTACTGCGGTTGCTGCCGCTGCTGCCCCTGCTGCCCATACTGCGGCTGCTGCCCCTGTTGCTGCTGCTGCTGCTGCTGCTGCAGCTGGGCGTAGGTGGGGAAGAGCACGGGCATGTGCTGTGAGGCGTCTTCGTTGGTGCCTAGCCGGATGGAGTGGCCGCTGCCGCTGCTGCCGGGACTGCCAACCAGCATCGTCAATGGCGCCTGTAACCAAAGGTGTGGCACAGCGGGAACAAAAGAAAGGTCCAACGCCAAGGGGGTCGGAGTGGTGAGCGCGTTGGAAACAGAATGAGGAACCTCGCGTGGAGATTACACCATTGCGGCTCTTTGCGCAGTGATGCGAACAATTGTAGCCCAGCCGTGCAAGAGTGGGAAGCCCAGCAATGCTGTGGGGCCGCAAGGCAGCCTGCAGTTAAGGGTTGGCGTGCTTTCCCAACGGTTAGCTCCTTCGCGACAGCAGCAAGTGCGGTGGATATGGCAGGAGGAACGAGTGCCACTGGGGGCTAGAGCCTGGAAAGCGTAGCTGCCATTTGGAAAGGGCAAAAGGTGAAACGGGCTGGGCGAAATTGCGCTCTTCGTTAAGAAAATTCCCTGGTTAAAAAACGTCGACCCTCATCGCCAGGCGATTGCACCCGTGGCCGTTTGGGCCAATTCGGTCGACCTCGCGCTAATGTTCCCGCAAAACGCTGCACCGAAGTGTATTGCATACGAACTAGTTTCGTGATGACCGTAGTTGCATGAAAAATGTTCAATTACGACGCCAGCCTTTGCTCAAGTTCCTGCATTTACTGCAGCAAGCATCAGCCAGTCCTATTGTGGACCGCATACACCTAGCCCCGTGTAATTTTACACCTAGGGACTTTCGGGAGCTCGTGTCTGACACTAGTATCATACGGAAACATCCGAGGTGGGAAAAAACTGTATCGGGTCTTACGACTCCTAACGGCTGCTTGACTGGAACACACCGTTCGCATACAAACCTACCGGACTAGAAGTGGCGCAAGTGCATCGCCCCCCAATGTACATCTCCCAATTCACTTTGCGATAACTCTGTGCGATTTTCTGTACATCGTCAACTCGTTTTGTGACTTTCTGCACCTCTATAGGCGCACGACCGTCAAAGTTACTAGACCCAAGGTTGAGCCTCTAAACCCCGCGGATCCTTTGACCGCGGGTGAGCCTCAGGTCAGCCTCGGGTCAGACCCGAGGTGCAGAATAAATCTAGGTGTATTTTCATTCTGGGTGCTGCAGAGAGGGTATTCACCACCCGAATGCAGCTCTTGAAGATCGAATCCTGATACCCTTGAAAAAAAATAGTTTGGGCTTTTATAAGAAACATTTTCTGCTCGATATATTGTTTTTTCAAGCCAGGAAACTCGGTGTCAGCTTAGGAGGTGCTCAAAGTTTTCGCCCGCGTGGAGTCTGCTGTGCTAACGCCGTAGGAACAAGGGAGTGCTGTCTACGCTCTCAAGAATATCAGGGTGGAAACAAAAGTTTTCCTTCCACAGGCTAGGTGTACAGCGGGGCCACTTGCCCGAATACAAGACCATTCCAACACTGTACATTCCGAAGGGCAACGTACAGTGATCCGTTGAATTTTTTTCGGGCCGAGTCGAAATTTGCCGTTAGACAGATCCCGAAATCAATAGTTTTGAGGGAACACTTGCGCGAGGTCGACCGAATTGGCCCAAACGGCCACGTGTGCAATCACCTGACGATAAGGGTCGATGGTCTTGAACCAGGTAGGATTCTCGATGAAGTGCGTAATTTCGCCAACGGGGTGTCTTGGGATGGGGTGGACAGGCTGGCGATGGGGTTTGGAGATGAGTGGGGGTGATTGGGTGTCATGGAAAAGAAGGGGGGGCAGCACCACTGACCAAACAATGGATTTTTCCGGTCACTACAGTTACAAAACCAGCAAAGTTCAAACTTCGAGCAAGGAGGAGTACGGTCTGTTACGTTGTAGTGAAATGATGGCAAGTTTTAAATCGTTTTGGAATGGTGGAAGTACGAACATGCGTTTCATGAGAAAGGCGAACCTCATTGGTGCGAGTGCTAGGTCCCCCTCAAACCAGGTCGCGCCACGTCATGCGCACCTGCATTGCTGCCAACCGATACTGCCGAAGATACTGAAGTTGCCTGCCTTGTCTTGTCTCGTCACATGAGATGCGAACCGCTGTTGTTGTTTCGGATGTTTTCTACACCCGAGCAATCTGTGCAAGTTTGCCTACTGTTAGTCGAACGCGGTTCAGTTGGGTACCTCAATTTGAAACGGTTCAGCTGTTCGCCCTCACATTACCGCCTTGGAACACAACTAATCGAACACAACCGTTCTCTGCGAATAAAATTAAACGCGCTGGAAGCCCTTCCACTGCTATTCTCTGTTCTGTATCCTGTCCACCATCCCATATTAGCACATATGATACAATAGAAGTTCACATGTGCACACGAAACGTAGTGTAGCGTCAACATCAACTGACTCGACATTTGGGATAAATCCTGATTTTTTTTTCAGCAAATTACGACAGCATTGACCCATAACAAGGCGCTCTCTTGGTTGTGTGCACCTTGTCCGACAATATGCGGTAATCGTGTGATGCAGAAACGCCATATGGGAAACACGCACAGTAATACTTGTCAGTATTCTCGATGTTCCAATAATCCCTGAGACGAGGGAGTCGGCATATGGCCAAGAGAATGTGTGCATGGAAAATTGGGGATGGGAAAGGTGCGACACACAAATTATGAGGTGCTTTTGAAAATAATGAGAGGGGTGCTGAGGGAGTGTGACCGAGAAGTGGAAGAGAGAGTGAGACGGAGAGACAGTGAGACGAAGAGAAAAGGCAGGGGAGGGGAGGTGGTTGGGAAAGGGAGGGAGGAGCATGCGTTGAAGACAATGGGGGTTACCTTTAAAATCAGTGGTTCGGCGTCGGTCTTCCTGACCAGGTGGAGGGTATTAGCCTCCAGATACGCCACTTTATCGTCCAGATACATTGCACCGGCGTCCTTCAGCACTCGCACCTCGATGTAGGGGTCCTTGGGGGGTGACAGGTCCTGATAAACATGACATCAAGTTAATGGAGGGATGATGACAGAAAGGTGGATGGCGAGGCATGAGTATGGCACTGACCCTATGGCACTGACCCCAGAGCCCCACAGTGACCCCAGCGCCCCACGGAGCCCCCCAGTGCGCTGACCACAGTGAGGTCGAGTCCTGCGGCCACCATGTAGTCGCCCAGCGCCTGCGAGTACTGCACGAACCACTCGCCCTCCGATGGGCTCAGCCGTTCCTGCAGCGCCGACGGCAGCGTCGCACCCAGCTGCCACCTCAGGCGGCGAATCTGATCCATGCGCGCATTGCTGAAGGCAGGGGGAGATAGGGCAGAGAGCAGAGGGACAGAGAGACACGGTGAATGAAATTAGTGAGGGGAGAGGACGGGCGGTGAGCGAGTGGGAGGCCGAGGTAAGGCAAAAGCGAGGCCCGCCTTGAAGTGCTGCGAGTGACAATCAGCAACCGAGATGCAGCACGCTCTGTGTGTAGTATATGGTGCACAGCACATGGTAATGCTGTGTGTGCCATGGTCCGTAATGCATGGGGTACGGTGCCACTGATGCATGCGAGGTGCGCGCGGGGACTGACAGGTAGGCGAGGAGGCAGCGCTTGTTGCGCAGCAGCGCCTGGTGGTGCACCATCACCGCCGTCGCGTCCTCCGACCGCGTCTCCCGCCACTCCACGCCCGACCCCTGCACTCGCCTGCCGCCCGCAAGCAGGGGCGGAGGGGGAAATACCAATACGGTTGAAAGGAGACGGCGGAAATGGAAGGGGGGGGGAGAGTGGGGGTTGTGAAAAGGAGCGAGAGAGGGGAAGGAGGAGAAAGGAGACGAGGGAGAAGAGCGCAGCGCAGAGCGAGTGAGAGGACGAGGGAGAAGAGCGCAGCGCAGAGCGAGTGAGAGGACGAGGGAGAAGAGCGCAGCGCAGAGCGAGTGGGAGGACGAGGGCCGGGACGACGAGAAGTGAGGGAGGCGCAATGGAGGGGGCGGGAGGAGCAGGTACGGTGAAAGGAGAGGGGGAGGGGAGGGGCGCGTACAGGAGGATTTGCACCATGTGCTGGTGGTGCTCGTGCGCCTCCTCCAACACCCGCTGCACGCCGTCCGCCTGCCACGCGCACCACACACGGACGGCGCAGAGCGGGCAGAGCGGGCAGAGAGAGGACAGAGGATAAAGAGGAGCAGCGCACACGAGGCAGCGAGGCAGGAGAGGCGCTGATGAGAGAGAGCGGCCACGTGCGAGCGTTGTGAGGAGGGCCTCCGAGTGCGTCGAGTGCTCGTCGACCGCGACGACGAAGACCACGACGGGCACACGCGCGCGAAGCACGGAGGCAGTGAGGAAACGGGCGTACATCGAAGGGCAGTGGGCAAACGGGGCGTACATCGAAGGGCAGTGGGCAAACGGGCGTACATCGAAGGGCAGTGGGCAAACGGGGCGTACATCGAAGGGGAGGATCTGATCGGGGTCGCATCGCGCCACCTCCTGCACGAGCTCCACCGCCTTGCGCGCGAACATGGCGGCGCTACCAGCGCCGCACTCACTCGCCCGGCCCGCTGCCGCGAGGCCAAATGGTGCCCCGCCTAGAGGTGGATTCGCTGGTGTATTGGCTGGTGTGGAAATGGCGACTTAGCCAAGCGCCAAGAGAACGAGGGCTGGGACTTGGGTGTGTACCGTGCGATGCTCGACTCGCAGCCCTGATGGCCTCGAAGGTTCAAGGCAGCAAGGCACGTAATGCGGCCGTTGAGGAAGGTTGCGCGGGAGGAAATTGGGTTGTGAGGTGCGATGTGCGAGTGTGTCAGGTTGCTTCTGACTGACTCCAGTGCGCAATCAAAGCATCATGTTTGTGCTGGCAGGTGAAATACAGCCAGTGCCGTCATGGGCACGCTCCAGGGGGTTTTGAATGCTCAAATTCTCGAACCAGGGCGCAAACCGTGGGGGGGTGTGGGGAAGGGGAGTCGCAAAGGGGCTGGCGAAATCTCATCCAGCATCAAGTTACGTTACATGGGAATTGTAAGGAATTGTCCATTCCTTAGCCCGCCACACCGCTACCGCGTACATCAAACCCCACACGGCACCGACATCTGCCCTAGCTTCGGCCCGAACACCGCACCGAACCATTTCCACGTTACTCCGAAGCGCTCCGCATCCTCGGATGCCTTCTACGAACATGTTCGATCACGCAGCTAGAATTGCTCTGGTGTTCCTATATTTTGTTTCGTCATTCCATTGTACGACATTCGAATATTCTGAACCTCGACATTCGATTCCGCGCTACTCTGGTGAAACACTCCTAACATCTGGTATTCAGAGCTACTTTCCTGACCTACCCGCTTCCGTAGGCGGAAAATGTTTTTCGGGGGAGGAGTGATTCGCTCACTGAACTGCAAAGCGGTCGGCCATGAATTAGACGAATTAATTGTACTGTACGGGGGAGGAGGGATTCCCTCACTGAACTGCAAAGCGGTCGGCAATTAATTAGACGAATTAATTGTACTGTACTGGACGAATTAATCATTTCAGGCACTGTACGACCAAATCACCGACCTATAAAAAGCTGAAAAAAGAATCGGTTCATCGTGAGGCTCAAATCCGACGTTCGCTACGAAGTGAGGATGCAAAGCCCAGCGACGTTCTAGGAAGCAGTGGTGATCGCCGACCTGTACGACACCAATAAAAAATAAGCGAGATCGGGTTCCCGGGAGGAAAATCGTTTTCGTAGCCAGGATCAACGGCCCTCGATCAACGGTATTGTGGCGAACGATGAAGATCGCAGGAAGCGTCAGTGTTTTCACTGCCACCAGCCGGGTCACCGATATGTAGACTGCCCTGACCGGAAGCAGAGGAAAAACAACGATGGGGATAAGCCGGGAAACGACTCTCGTTAGTAGCAGACGCCCCCTACTGACGCGGTTGCATCACCCGAGAAACAGCATCTCCATCGGGTAGTGGTACCGGTTCACGCTATCGACCGGTCTCGGATGAATAATGGGGATGAACCTGAGGATCACCCTGTGCTGGTAGAAGGAAGGGTTAACGGCAAAAAAATCAAAATCTTCATCGAAGGTGGTGCGAGCCACAGCCTGATTCACCGACCGACGGCTAAAAAACTAAACTTACCCCCGGAGCAGTGTCTGCCCGAGATCGATGTCCGATTGGTCGACGGCACCCCGCTGGCGATATGCGATCGCGCGCGAACTATTCGCATGAAGTGTGGCGACAATTTCGACTTTAGCGCGCCGATGCTGACGACGACACTCGACGGCTACGATGTGCTGCTGGGACGAGATTGGCTTCGGCGACACAGCCAGCAGATCGATTGGACGACATGCGAATGCACAGTGAAGTGTGCGACTGGTCGGCAGACACAGCCAAGTTGGCGAGGAGCAGAGCCGAAATTTATTCGTCAATTCCCATATTTTTTTCCGTACGACTTGCCACCTGGCCTGCCACCAGAACGCCCTTAGGACCATCGCATCGAACTCGAACCTAGCGCGTAACCAACAATCCGGACATAGTGGCGGCTGACGCAACCCGAGCTCCAGGAACTGCGGGACGAGCTGGACTATTTGCTGGCCAAGGGGTTCGTTTGACCAAGTACGTCCCCGTACGTCGACCGATCCTGTTCACACCCAAGAAAGATGGGGGCCTCCGAATGTGCATCGATTATCGCGGCCTGAATCGGGTTACGATAAAAATCTCGCTACCCAGTCCCGCATACAGACAAACTAATCGACCAGCTGCGAGGCACTCGCTATTTCTCGAAGATCGACCTTCGCGGCGGTTACCATCAGATTCGAGTCTTTGCCGACGACTGCCACAAAACCGCGTTCTGTATTCGCTACGGGAGTTGCGAATACACTGTCATGCTGTTCAGCTTAATGAATGCCCCCTGGACGTTCCGGCTGACGATGGACGGGGTATTCCGGGATCTACTCGATAAACGTGTGATCATTTATCTGGACGATATCCTGATTTACAGTACGACACGGGAGCAACACTTAAAGAACCTGGAAGCGGTTTTTCAGCGCCTGCAGCAAATTGTCTCATTACCAAAGGCTCTAACTGCGAGTTTTTAAAACCCGAACTGGAGTTTTTGGGGCACGTTATTTCGACGGAGGGCGTGAAGATTGACCCCCGCAAAATTCGGGTCATTCAAGAATGGAAGTCGCCGACCAACCTCCAGGAGCTGCAATCGTTTTTGGGGTTCGTCAATTACGTGCGCCGATTTATACCCAACATGGAGGGGTTAACTAGAGCACTAATTGACCTACTTCATAAGGGTGCTGATTATCAGTGGGGGGAGAAGCAGCAAGCTGCGTTTGACATATTAAAAAGGTTTTAATCTCGCCACCAGTACTTCGGATTGCTGACCCAGAACGACCGTTCAAAGTCGTAACTGACGCAAGTGACATCGCCATCGGAGCAGTCCTGCTACTGGATTTTGGCGACGGCCTTCAGCCAATCACGTATGAGTTGCAAAATTTACAGTCGTCCGAGCGAAATTATCCCGTACACGACAAGGAAATGCTGGCGATCGTGCAGGCGTTCAAGATTTGGCGATGCTACCTGACGGGAGTCGACATGACTGTACGAACAGATCACAAATCCCTACAGTACCTGCGAGCGTAGCCGATCTCAGCCCGCGGCAGATTCGGTGGTTGGATTATCTGGAGTCGACTTCATGAATCGCATAACGTACAAGAAGGGTGCCAACAACATTGCTGACGCCCTCTCCACAGGATGAAATTTTCATGCCAGCGGTCAGCAGGACTGTTGTAGCCCCTCGAGCCACCCCAGCGACCTTGGCAACACGTGACAATGGATTTTGTCACTGGCCTGCCGGTTGGACCAAGTGGCAACGACGCGGTTCTTGTCGTCGTCGACCGCCTCACAAAAATGGCTCACTTTGCGCCATGTCATACAACGATCACAGCCGTGGTATCCCAGCGGCGATCATCAGCGACAGATACCCAAATTCACCTCGCACTTTTGGGAAGTCACGTGGAACCGATACGACACTCGCCTACAGTTCTCGTCCGCCTGTCACCCGCAAACCGATGGTCAGACAGAATGGACAAATCAGACCATGGAACAGTTGATTCGCACGAACTGCCCAGATATCAGAAAATGGGAAGATTCGCTACCCATGCTCGAGTTTTCCTACAACAACGCACCCTCCGCTACAACCAATCATTTGCCCTTCTTCCTAAATCACGGGATGGATCCGATAGTACCCATTTCCACCAACGTCAAAAGCCAAGTCCCCCGCTCGCAGCAGTTTGTCGAAGACCTTCAAACCGCCCTCACGAAAGCCTTAGAACTTATCCGAAAAGCCAATGTCACTGCCCGCCAATATGCCGATCGCCACAGACGAGATATTACCTTGACTGCAGGGAAACTAGTCCTCCTCGACACCAAAAACCTTCCCCCGCAAATACCGTCAAAACTTCAATTCCGCTACTGTGGACGTTTCACGATCATCAAGATGGTCACGTCAGTGACTGCCCGACTCCGTCTACACGACGATTGGAAAATTCATTATTCATTCCATGTCAGCCTCCTTCGTCCTTTTGTGGCCGACACGTCAAACGTCGCCCAGCAGCCGATCGCCCAAGATCTACGGCTAGCCGAAGAAACACTCATCGAACCAGCGAAGAACCTGAGCCATCGCGTACAAATCAACGGTCAGGAATGACACGTTGACTTCCTGATACGATGGACTCATCGTACCAGCGAGGACGACACGTGGGTTCCCTCGGTACAGGTACAGTCATCTATTGTACTCCAGGATTATTTATTCCGCAAGCACGTCGCAAATATAGACCACCTTCGCTAGAGGGGGGGTAGTGTAAGGATTTTTCCATTCCTTAGCGTGCCACACCGCTACCGCATACATCAAACCCCACACGGCACCGACATCTGCCCTAGCTTCGGCCCGAAAACGGCACCGGACCATTTCCGCGTTACTCCGAAGCGCTCTGCATCCTTGGATGCCTTCTACAAACCTGTTCGATCACGCGACTAGAATTGCTCTGGTGTTCCTATATCTTGCTTCGTCATTCCATTGTATGACATTCGAATATTCTGAACCTCGACATTCGATTCCGCGCTACTCTGGTGAAACACTCATAACACGAATCAACTCGCCCTTTCCAAGTTTTGCATCTTATTTCTGACGTTGCACTTCTCCATATGCCACATACTTGCATGCGTGTGTACTTGGTGCCTATTGGAGAGCATTTTTTTTTTTTTTTTTTCATCCCATGTGGAACCAGTTGAAGTCCCTGAAACGAAAAAGAATAGCGTTAGTCTTGTGCTTGGCCAAGGTAAATTTGTTTGAAGATTCATGTTGATTTTTGTTGTTATAAGTATCAGAACTCAGTCACTAACCACTGAGTTAAAATGGCTTGGTATCAGAGCCAAAGGTCTCGGGTTCAATTCCCAGTGGGCACTGCTGGAAGTGCCAGCGCTGCAGAGGCGCTTGTGTCTTCTGCTTATCCCAGCGAGGGGGGGTGTCAAAAGACATGTTGGGGTTGAGATGTCAACTTATATTCATACGTTGTTACAGTGGCGGAAACAATTGTCCACATGTTTAGCATATTTTCATATTTTGACGAGCTGTATGCTATAAGCATTAAGCCTTAATGATGGTGGCCATACATGCAGAGAGGAGCAGTTAGAGCACTCACTCAAATCTCCTAAAACCAGAGTAGTATATTTCATGGTCCTTCAAGACGACAACATTTAATAACAGCACATCCGGACAATTTGTACCGAGGACAGGCAGCAAACTAGTTACTAGCAAAACTAGTACCTAGTCAACCGACACTTGGCCTTGATCACCACCTACACCCTCCTAGG